AGCCCTGAGCCCGCGGCTCGCCTCCCCGAGCTGGGGCTGCGCTGGTCTGGGAAACGCACGTCTCATGCCCGCACTCCGCGGCTTAAGATGCGCCGTGTGACGGACAGATCCGCTCTCGGGGACTGGAGGGAGACACTGCCCGCTGCGGGGAGGAGAGCTGGTGGCCAGGGAGGGGCGGGAATGTTGGCTGAGTAATCTTTGGATCGTGCGTGATTTAAACCTTGAGTGTTGCCTGGTGAGAAGCAAAGCACTTTCAAACGCACACACGGAAAATGACTCCCAACCATCCCTCGAACAAAATGCGAAGTCCATACACAGAATAAGGCCTAGTGCTTCCGTAAGATTCACAATCTCCTGCACAGGCTGCGTGACCTCGGCCTGACCTCGGCCTGACCCGGCCGCTTCCGGGCTCCCCTGGGCCCGCACGCACTAGGCAGCCTCTGAACCTTCCCTGAGGCTCCTTCTGGACTTCCCGACTTGTCACTTGTCACAGGCCTTCCTGACCCCACCTGCAGGAGACGTCGCCCCTTTGCTTTTCCCAGCCACTTGTCTTCCTTTTGCACCCTTACTAAAAGTGTTAGATGTGCATTGCACATGTACTGATGTGTTCGTGTGCACTCTGTCTTTCCGAGGAATCCGGGGAGTGACGACGGGGACCGCTCCTTCCCTTAGTGCTCGTTGCCAAAGAGTAGAAAGTTGGTGTCCTCGCCAAACTCCTGCAGTACGAGAATTGCAAGACAGACTTGAGATAAGTGATTTTAAAACATCAGGTCTGTATAACTGGTGGTATTAGCAAGACGCAGCGTCCTTCTCCAAGGTCCCTTCCGCATTCCCCCCTGAGCAGGGATGTAATGAGCGTCCCGCGTGAAAGTTTTACTGCTGGCTTTTGCTCTAGATATATTGAATGCAATGGCCCAAAACATGAAGAAGCAATTTCTGCATGTTGAAATAGAAGATGATGTGTTTCATCTTTGTACTTTTCTGTAGTTACCAAACGTGTACAATGAAGGCAAATTGCATTGATCTGAGATAGTTTTGTAAGCTAGAAAAAGAAGGGGCATCAAAACATTTTCAGGAAAAGTTTTGCAAAAGAAATTTACCGACTATGTTAGTTGGAAGAAATAAGATTGATTATATATTCATACCTGAACAATTTTTAATATGCTGCATTTTCTGTATCAACACATATTACTTTTGCATTGGAAAAAGTTTAATTTTAGAAGTGCTTAGGTAATGACCTATGCAGTGTTTACCTCAATTAGAATACACTCTGTGACTTGAATTTTAAACCTGTAAGTGATGATACAAGAAGCTGACTTGTCTTTATGTTGGTTCTATAAACAACTGTAACTTATGTTTGTGAAGAAATCACAGGACCTGCTTACTTCATTCCTAAGCGATAGCATAATATCACCAAAACCACACAATGAAACACCTTCCATCACTAAAGTTTGGAGACTCACAGACCTGGTGCCTATATTTTAGTCTTTATTCGTTTTTTTCATATATTTTCAAGTCTCAGACATCTCCAGGTATATATACCACCAAAAAAGGAAAAGAACAGCTAATTAAACTATAACAAATGTGATGTCACATAGATGTACTTTATATTTACTAAAAGAGTGCTTTTAGACTTAGACATTGGGACCCAGGTTACAGCTCAGTAGCACAAGAGCCTGCCTTGCTTACTTGCAACAATCCTCCTGCCTCAGCCTCCTGAGTGCTGGGATTATAGGCATGTGCCACCACACCTGGCTCAGATATCTTTGACATAGCAGAAGTGATGACAGTTTGAATAGTTATTGCTATGCTCACCAATACTAAGGCCATGCCAACTCTATCATTGTCGCTTGGCCAGTGGCTATTTATTTGATACAAAGACACCTCCTAGTTTCAGAGAATTTAAAAGATGAGACTAAGTCCTTCTTAAACTTGGAGAAACAGGGGCTGGGGATTTAGCTCAAGGCACAGCGCCTGCCTGGCAAGCGTGAGGTCATGAGTTTGATTCCCAGTACTGGGGAAAAAAAAATTAGAGAAACAGAATTACTGAGATGTTAGGAATGATATATTTGATTGGTATATTTCAGTGATATATTGAATTATTAGAATATTCAGTGGTGTGATGCAGGATATGGCGCTATGTTTACTAAGTCAATTATGTCTTTAAGTGCAACTTATTAATTAGTGTTGTTATCTTTTCTGTTATGTCCCATACGCCTGTTATTTATCTAGTTATACCTTTCATGAATACTCCCGGATGTATTTAAATGTGAAGCAACGGGCCAGGTCTTCCTGAAGCTTATATCTTGGCTCATTAAACATTCCTGAAACTATAATATGTAGACAATCAAACTGAGTAAGTGCATGGGTAAGCTCCCTATTTTATGGAGACCCTTATAAAGCAGATAAAACTGAGCAGAATATTCTAAGATGAGAAGAAAGAGAGTATTCCCGAGGGGGGTCTCAGCGTGACCAAAACCATGGGGAGATTATTGGAGAAACAAGATTTATTAAGTACTCACTATATGTTAGACACTCTTATTCACTACACAATTTGACTTCACACCAGTCCTGACCTTAAATATGAAGAAGTGAAGCCTCAAAAATTACTTTTCATACTGTTGGCAAATAAATGACTCGGAATCCTAACTTGATTCTCTATCATACTCCAGAGCCCATCACTGAAAAATAGCCAAGGCCACGTTTACCAGAGCAGAAAGTTTACATTTAGGAAATGTGTGTAGCAAATTTAGTCAGATATGATGAGAATAGAACATGGTATGCAACACAGATTGACGAGTCTGGATTTTAGCTGGATAGTAACTGACACTCTCTGAAATAACAAAGCAAAAGGTCAACAAATTTGACAACTTAAAAAGTATAGTCTTTGTGCATTAAGTACGGCATATAAACTAAGAAAATCTGAAGGTATTTCTTAAAGAAATTAGAGAAAAATATTTGAATATATATTAAAATAACACACAGCCAGGGTTATAGCTCAGCAGGCACAAGTGCCTGCCTGGCAAGTACAAGGTCCTGAGTTCAATTCCCGGTACCAAAAAAAATAAAATAGCATGCATTGTGTTGTTATTTATTTCATTTACAAAGCAATTAGAAAAAGATAACTAGCCAGGGATATAGCTCAGTGGCACAAGTGCCTGCCTGGCAAGCGCAAGGTCCTGAGTTCAATTTCTGGTACAAAAAAAAAAAGATAACTAACAATGGAAAAATGAGCAGAATGAGAAAAAGCATTTTATGGACGACATGAGGGCCCATTCATCAAAATATACCGGATATTAGAGCATATTCAATATGAGTAATAAACACAAAATTTGAAAAGTAATGTGATGGTTTTTCATCCATTAGTTTGGCAAAGACTTAAATAAAATAATTCACATTATTAGTAACAGTGCAGGCAAAAGAGTTCTGAGTAGTTTATTGTGAAACTATAAACTGGTACAGTTTTCTGGAGAGAAATTAGACAATAATCAAAAACTTGAAAGCAAGTGAATCTTCAACCTAGCAATTCCATGCCTAAGATGTAATCCTGAGGAAATAAACCTTGATGTGTACAAAAATATATGTTCATGGATCTTCATCAAACCATTTCTTATGATGGCGAAAACTTAAACTGCCTATAGACAGGTATTTAATAAACTACGCCGTGCAGTGCGACCACAAAAATATAAGTGTAGGTATATAAACATTCATTTAAAAACCCAAAATATGTTCCAATGTGACAAAAAAGCAGCTGTGAAGCCATTCATACAGGATGTCCTACTTTGAGTTTCACAAACTACAGATAACTTTGTAGATATACTTAATGCCTAGATTTGCAATATTTACCAAAATATTAGCATTTCTACCTCAGAAAGCCAGAGTAACAGTGATTTGGGATTATATCCCACTGTCAAATAAACCAGTCAGACTCTGACATAAAATAGCGACCCTCCTTATTTGTTCCTCACCATCCGGTGGGCTGCTTTGGCGGATCCTCTGTGGGTCTTGTGTCGATCCGCTAATGTGACTACAACCATCTGTTGGGTTATCCGGGCCACAGGGCACCAGCTACTAACTGCAGTTCCACGTTTTCACCTTGCAGACTTTAAATGTTCTGGACAAGATAGTGCCCCTGAGATTCCTGAGACAATGGGATGGTAAGTCAAAACGACAAAGAGAAATCTAGAAAGGATACTTGAAAAAAAAAGATTTTGAGAATTAATTAGTTCATACTGGGAAAAAAATGTTCAAAAAAGACGACTTCTGTGCCACTGATAATAACATAAATTATACCGTATATTTACACGTTTTACCAAACCCTCTGAAGTGCTTCATATGCATTAAATAATTTAGTCCTTACAACAGTTCTACAAAGTAAGA